CCTACTTATTTTATTTACTAATTCTCTGAACCTTTGCTATAGCTACACACTCTCAGTATTTGACAGCCTTCTGCTTCCATCTGCATATTAATATGGAATATGTATTCCATTAAAGTTGTTATGCTTGTGGGTAACTGGGGCTCACAGTTTTTGTCGCCTTTTTTAATGGTTTGTTGTTTTTCTTTTTGTGTTTGTTTTTGTTTTTTTGTTTACAGTATTTGGACAAGTTAAGAAAAACAAATATTGTAGCTGCTTTTATTTTTTATTTTTTTTTTTTTTAAATCGGGTACTTGCCAGTGCTTGGGGTTCAGCATTGTCCATATTATTCATACCAATGCAGGTCCCCTGATGCTGCCATTTTGGATTTAGGAGCTGTCTGTGGATTCCTGAGGAACCACAGCCAGCTCCTCAACTGCACAAGCACTTTGTGGCAAGCAGCGTAATCCTCACCTAGGCAAGGATCACAGAAGAAGAGAGAGCACTGATAAAAATCGGTACTCACACCCCCCCCCCCCCCCCCCCCCCAGGTTACAGGTTGAGGGGAGGGAGCAAATCATTTAACCATTTAACCCTAGGTGATTCGCAGGAAAATCCATGCAGCTGCACCACCCACACAAAGAAATGCGGACCCGCGTAATGGCACGCCGCCCGCACTGGAGAACGCAAGCGTACTGGCTGCGTTTTAAAAAGAAGTGCAGGGACCTCTTTCCCTGCGAGTCACGGGCACAGGAGTCCATTCAAATGATTGGGCTCTCGTGCCTGTGCAAAACGCGGCCCGCACATCCGCATAGATGTGAACCGGGGATTAGTGATGTCATGCTTTAATTGCTACAAAAAGCAAATTTATTAGGGTCCTTATGCATTATTTAGGTGTTTTACAGCAGATATTTCTGTCTTGAGCTTGCTTTCATAGTGTCTTGGGGTCTGTTCACTCCAGTGGGTGTACGTTTTCTTCCATATAGCACACATACATTGGTGTGATTCATTATTGTTTTTCTTTTTGTAAAGGATAAGTTCACCTTTTGTCCAAAAATAATAAATGCAAATTTTTTTGCAGCTAAAACAAAATGTGCATTTTGTTTTTGTTGTGTGTGGTTTTTTTTTTTGGTTTTGTTTGTTTGTTACAGCAGCCTGTAAAACATTCCACCAACGATCAGCAGATTCATCCCGTACGGACAAGCAGATATACTGACAGGAAGATGTTAGGAAGTACCACGGCGCTCTACAGCACTGTGGTAGTCCATTGAGAACTACAAGCCTACAGCGTAGCGTATTCTATCACAGTGACTCAGTGACTGAATGATGCGGCTGTGTGGGCGGGGCCCTGCACAGCCAGGCTGGTTTTAAAAAGTGGCAGCTAGTGCGGGGAACTTCTCCCTGTACTCCTGTCATAGGGGGTGTGGGGGGGCAGCATTGGGAACGGGGCACCTAAAAACGGGTGTAACATGTTCCCAAAGATTAACTTATCTTTTAACCACTTCAAGTCCAGACACTTTCACCCCCTTCCTGCCCAGGCCAATTTTCAGCTTTCAGCGCTGTTACACTTTAACAATTGCGCAGTCATGCAACACTGTACCCATGTTAATTTTTTAGCATTTTTTTGAGACAGATAAAACTTTATTTTGGTGGTATTTTTTCACCACTGGGATTTTTATCTTTTTGCTATATAAATGAAAAAGACAAAACATTTTGAAAAAAAAAGTTTCTTATAAAATTTTGCAAATGAATAATCTTGTTTCATCAATCTTGGCCAAAATGTATCATCTATCTTTCTAGTAAAAAAACAAATTAAATTATAACCAAAATTTTTTATAATTTTTCAAAAAATGTTTTTATATATAAAATTTTGTTTTTTTTTTAACATACTGTCACCCTAGGAGTTCAGTGTCTCCATAGTGACACTGTACTACTGGGGGGGGGGGGGGTGATGAAGATTGCTGTTACACCCATAAAGGCTGTAAAATCAATCATTTCTCCTTCTCTCTGGCTGCATTCTTGCAGCCATTGAGAAATACTGTAAGAGCTGTGATTGGTCACAGCTTGTCACATGGTACAAGGCTGTTGTGAATAGCCCTGTACCATGTGATCTCGGTGATCATTCACAGATTTCACACATAGTAAGCAATGATGTCAGAAGTGACATCTTGCTTACTACTCTTCATGTGATCACTGATTGGCCAATCAGTGATCACATGATCGAGACCTCACACAGAGGTCCCGTACCGCGATCCGGACACAGCGGCACTGGAGGACGTTTATAAACGGCCACCCGCCCCTGCACTGCTCCCGTCCGGCCGTTTATATACACGGGCCAGACAGGAAGTGGTTAACTTGTACTGAAATGACACTATGCACAAAGACTTGCTGTATTGCTGTCCTGTATTGATACAGGTTTTTGTGCTTTATAAAAAAATACCAACATGCTTCAGTTTTATGCAACACACATGTATAACGTGAACAGGGCACATGGAGAACAATTGCTTCCTATGTACCATTGTGCTGAGACCGCGTTGACCAATGCAGATCAACACAACTGCTGCGGACATACCAGTATATATGATGGAATAGTATTAGGGAGGCACAGTATAATGAATGGGGCTCTGTACCAGTATCATTTTAGGAGGTTGTATATCAGCCCTTGAGAAATACAATGCATTAGATATGAATACCAAACCCCACTGCCCCCCCCCCCCCCCCCCCCAGAGTCCTAGTCACCCCAGTGATGGTAAGGGGAGATAAGAATCCCACCCCAGCCTGAGACCACACTGCACCCCAGTGATGGAAAGGGGAGATAAGCAATCCCACCCCAGTCTGAGACCACACCGCACCAACCACACCGCACCAACCCCACTCACCTGGCCATCTCTCAGGCTCTGAAGAAGTTCTGGAAGTAGGCAGGACGAAACTCATCAGCATGGTCCCACGTCGTCCCTCCCCTGCCTGTTGCCCGTGCACAGCATGGCTTCATGACTGGATTGACATGGAGCCCACAAGCTATGAATGGGCCTCAGTGACCCCCACTACGAGACGCAGCAGCTAGAGCTGGATGATTGATAAGAGTGTCTATCTGTCATGGTGCGCACTACTGGAATCACGAGCAGCAGTCAACTGTCAGGACCTAGCTGGTGTAATTACACGCAGTGAGTACCCGGCGACCCTGTGTAGGTCATATCAGCTGTGCCGGAAGCACAGGCTGGACTGGAGACACACGTAGAGGTTGCTGCAGTAGCTCCTCAAGTCACGAGTTTGTGTTTAGTCCCGCTGGCTTCACTAAATATGGACAGTCTATATTTGTCTACACCAGGGTTTCTCAACCTTTTTTTTGGTCAAGACACCCTTTAAAATTATGGACAGTCTTGCGGCACACCATTGACTCTAAACTGTCCATAATTTTAAGGGCACCCCATTCTAAAATGTGAAAAACTATTCTACTAGTTTTATGTAACCCAGCAACATCCACACATGTAGGACACCCAACATTAGAGGTGGTTTATTCTTCCAAAGCAAATACACTTTTGCACACTGGTACTGACTAGTATTCCCATGTTTTCTCTTCTCCCTCAGTTTTTATCCATCACTGAGCTAATGTGACCCCAGCACTGATGGAGAGGGGCGGGGGAGGGTGAAACTAGGATGCTGTGCAGGCAGCTGACATCCTCCTTATCAACTGATGATGTCATTGGGTGTGAGGACCCCGGTGGCTAGAAGGTCGTAATGGTGCACAATGAAAACCTGTGGCTTTGTGTAACTAAAACGCCGGCTTGTTCCCCCCCCCCCCCCCCCCCCCCCCCCCCCCCCCCCCCCCGCTGGCTTGTGTACAAGTTTTGGGCAGTTTTTAGACATTTTGCCAAGGCACCCCTGAAGAACCTCAAGGCACCCCTGGGTGCCTGGGCACCCTGGTTGAGAGAGGCTGATCTGCACTCCCAGATATATATCCACCTTATAGACTATTGATAGCCGGCATGTAATTTAGGATTGCTATTTTTCCATCCTCTACAATAGCACGGCATGCTCTACAATGGCGCGGCATGCTCTACAATTGCACGTCATGACATCCATTTTACTTTCACCACCTGCAGGCTGTCTGTGTTTACAATCCCAGCCTCTATATGCCCAGACCTGTGATTACACTGGACTCCGAGCGTTTATCCACACCATAGAACATCTATCTGGACAGGATTTTGGACTGGCCTGGTCGATTTATGCACAGAGACTCTTGCACCCTCTCACAGATCGGACTGCCTACTCTGGACTTTTTAGGTTGTTTGTCCATTTCTGCAGGCTATGTGGCCCCATGGTGGCAGGGTCCAGTCCCCTATAGAGTCTCAGTCCATGTGGTGTACTCCAGGTTGGCCCCACATTGGATGCCTGTACCCTGTGATACTTTCTGGGCCTCTTCCCCACAACGCTAACCCCAGATACTGCCTCCTTCTATGTTGCACTTTCTCTGTGTTTTGGAGCACCAGTGGTCATAGGAGGAAGGACATTTGTTCAGAAGAAATTTATGGGGACTTTTTACATGATTCTTATTTATAGTATTCACTCATTTATTTATATTTTGATGTGTAGCGCTGCACAGTTTATATATTTTTATTTTCTCATCCGTGATACTTTTTGCTCATTACACTGTTCAACAAATTTTTATTTTTTGCCAGTTTTGGAAACAAAAGGATCCATTTCTTAATGAATTTCACATTCTGAGTTCAAATATAACAAGGAAATTTGTCAATTGGCTCTAGTTTTTCTGTAAACGGAAAGTTTTCTACTATAGGTGTAATGACTACATAATGCACAATAATTATATAGATAGATGTCTTTCCACAAATATAAAGCAAGTGATATTGACTACATAACAAAGCCTAAATGGCATAATATATTGCATAGGATTACCAAGAAAAATTATAGCCCTAAGCTAAGTTGAATCATTTTAATACTTAGGATTCTCACTAGTTTTGTCTTCAGTTTGTGTCGGTTTTGCTTCTCTTGGCTTTTCTCTTGTATTCGAGGAAAGGGCTATCTCTTACAACTGTCCAGCAATAGTCAGCAAGCATTGATGGGCTCCATTTACCTTGATATCTTCTTTCCATAGCTGCAATGTCTTGATGGAAGCGCTCTCCGTGTTCATCACTCACTGCTCCACAGTTTGGTGGGAAAAAATCCAGATGCGAATGTAGAAAATGAATTTTTAGAGACATGTTGCAACCCAGATTTCTGTAAGTCTGGAAGAGTTTTTTCTACCACTTTCTTGTAGTCTGGTGTTTTATTGTTTCCAAGAAAATTTGATGTCACTGATACAAATGCTGTCCAGGCAGCCTTTCTCTTTCCACGCAACAGAGAAAGAAACTCATCCTCATGAATAAGTTTTCCGAATCTGTGGCCCAACAAAGACTCCATTTATTTTTGCAGCACTAAGTGCTGGAAATTTGCTAATCAGGTACTTGAAACCTGCTTTATTCTTGTCCATTGCCTTAACAAAGTTTTTCATTAATCCCAACTTGATGTGTAATGGAGGTAATAAGATCTTATTGCTGTCTACAAGTGCTGGATAGTTAACATTTTTTTCTCCAGGCTGCAATGACTGGCGTAATGGCCAGTCTCTTTTGGCATAGTGCATTTCTCTCGCACGACTGTCCCACTCACAGAGGAAGCAGCAGTACTTAGTATATCCACCTTGAAGTCCAAGTAGGATAGCAATCACCTTCAGGTCACCACAAATCGACCATTGATGTTCATCATAGTTGATGCACCTTAAAAGCTCTTTCAAGTTTTCATACGTTTCTTTCATTGAAACTGCGTAAGCAACTGGAACTGACGGCAGCTGATTGCCATTATGGAGCAAAACGGCTTTAAGACTCGCCTTTGAAGCATCAATGAACAGCCTCCACTCATCGGGATCATAGCATACGCCGATGGCTGAGATTAAACCATGAACATTGTTACATACAGCAATATCACCTTCCTGGACGAAGAATGGGATCAGATCTTTCTGACGATGACGGTAGAAAGACGTACGAACATCACTTGCTAGGAGATTCCACTGTTGTAGTCTTGACCCCAAAAGCTCTGCCTTGTTCTTCGGAAGATTCAGGTCTCTGATAAGATCGCTCAGTTCCACTTGTGTAATGAGGTGTGGTTCAGTGGGTGTGGATGGAAAAAAATCTGGGTCATGTGAGGTTGACGGTTGATGACTACACGCTTCAGGTTCTTCCTCACTTGACTCAACCACGAAGGATTCTGGTGCTTTAGGAATTGGTAGCCCCTCTCCATGAGGAACTGGACGTATTGCCGATGGAATATTTGGATAGTGCACAGATAACTTTTTCTTCTTATTTAGCCCTTTTGTTGGAGACACCATACAAAAGTAACAATTACTAACATGATCTGTTGGCTCTCTCCAAATCATTGGCACAGCGAAAGGCATAGATGCCTTTTTTCCATTCAACCATTGCTCCAGTGCGGTCCCACAAGAATTGCAGCATATATGTGGTGCCCAGCTCTTGTCCTGATCTCCTATCTTGCAGCCAAAATACAAGTTGTAGGCTTTCTTAACCTTCCTCTTGTGTTAGTTTCCTGTTACCATCTCTTATGTTAACGGGTCGGTTTTGACCCGTGTCTTAAATCAGCTGTAAAATACACTAAAAACAATTATCTATCATCCAATTTGTTTCTCATCTCTTGGTTACCTTGTTAGGCTTCCTTATCCATGAAAATATTGGTTTTAATATTTTTGGTGTGGGCCCGTGGGCCTTTTTTTGTCAGTATACCCCTCGATTTCAATTAAAAAACAATGTAAAATGAACCTCAAGAGAATCATATAACTAAATAAAAGGTTGTTATGTCACCTGACTATTACTGAGGGGATTTAGAACACATCTCTGAAATAAATTTGTTTTGTTTATTTTTTCATTTTAATATTATTAACTATAGTAACATCTATGGTGTTACGGGTCAATTTTGACCCATATATATAATTACTTCAAAAAGGCAAAAAAGTCTCTTTTTTTCAGCAATAGAACTTTAGTACAAACACAAAATGAAAAACAGAACAGAGATATAGATATATATATATATATATATATATATATATATAACATAAATATAACAAAATATAGATTTTTATGCCGTACTTCCCTGGCTTACTGGGTATGCATTGCCGGAAGGGGCATTTTCCTCGGAAAGGGACAAGACGTTCATCTGCTGTCACCTCTGGCCCAGGGTTGACCATCAGTGGAAGGAGCTGCACCCATCTCTCCCAGACATCCCTGATGGGGGCAAGCTTGCCAGATCTTGCTCTGGTATCTCTGTCAAATCTGTGGGCTCTTGATATCATTTGAAAGGTTTGAAGTGACATTGTTGCCCGAAAATATTTCTGCCTGTCGATGCGTCCCACATCAGTGGCCTCATTGCAGGATCTGTACACTCCAGCAAGAAGAAGAACACCAATATAGGCATCCAGGTATTCCTCATCAATGTCTTTCCACATGCTGCCATGGACTTTTTTCCTTCAAGGTTTGTCATAGCAATGATGACTCTTTTTAGTGACAATGGCATAAATAGCTCAAAACATGTCTTGATGTCACTGACTCTCATCACAGCAAACCTTGTGATTCCAGGGGTCATTTTGATGACATTTGCAGCAGCTGCCCTGCCATGTACATCAGGAGGTACTGAGCTCCAACAGATCTTATCATTTTTGGACTTGAATATTTCAGCGGGAGCAGCTTCAGCACCGGTGGCCTCCTCATCAGACTCAGCAGATGTGTCTGTGTCTTCTGGATGATACTCCACATTGTCTTCCTCCTCAGAAACCTGCTCATCCAAATCACTATGCTCCTCTGTGTCTTCTCCCTCATTTTCACCAAAAATATTGTCCAGAACTTGGCTCTATGAAAATCTTCTTCTCATTTTTGCATGCTACAAATTGGAGATGTGCACTCTGCAAGTCACCAATTCTATAGTGAATTGGCCTCGCATGTCTGGACATGGCCGTCTTTGTTTTGTTTTTGTGCAGGTATACTGGAAAACAAGGCAAAATGAGAATCCCCTAAAGCTCACATGATTGGGAGAGGAGCGGGCTGTCAGTGTGCTGGTTGACAGTGACCTTATGATTTCAGTTTTGGCTCTAATTATTGCTTTATAATCTTATTTTTATAACTGGGTCGAAACCGACCCTAACAACACAAAGGTCATAATTTCAATTTGAGCATTTTATAATTTAGTGAAAACATTTTTTTTTTTTTCAATTTTGTTAAAATAGAGGTTCCTGACAAGTTATAAAGCCTTGATGCAATAAACAAATTTATATGGTTATTTTATGCATTTAAAACCTAAAAAACGGGTCGGTGCCGACCCTAACACAAGAGGAAGGTTAATCACTCCTGTTATCCTCCTTTTTTGTGAGATAAAAGTTATTTCACCGCAGATATAGCAGAAATTATCTGCTTTATTCACACAAGTTCGAGGCATTACTGAGTAGCCTATATAAGCATAAAACGAAATGTAAAGACGAACTACAATCAGCTACAGATACTGCAGCTTTTATGCAGTGAAGTGATGCAATTAAAGGCTAATATTGCATCATCTCAGTATACATGACATTTTCTATTGGTCACCAGTATCAATTGCGCAATATGCAGCTGAAGTTGCATCATAATTTTGAATGGCTTACGTCATTAGATGGGTGAATATATCATGGAAACTAGAGCCAATCAACATTTTTTAGGGTCATTTTCGTTTTCAGCACCCCAAAATTATGTAAGATTAGCTAATTTTATGCCCAAAACTTTTTACCTGTTGAACAGTGTTATCGACACAGAAAGACCTATGGGACTAGCTCCAGTGTCATCCGGTGTTTCAGTGTGGTCTGTTACGGGGCTGGTCAGGGAGTGTTCACCTCAGCTCCCTCTGGGGGGGGAAGGCGGCTGAGTGGGCTGTCTTGGAGGGTGTGGGGGGACCCTTGGGGGGGGTGCTGTGTGTGTGTGTGTGGGGGCAGGGGACTGGTGCATGTTGTGTAGTCTCGGACTGGGGTGGGATTGGTTATCTCCCCTTACCATCATTGGGGTGTGGTCTCAGACTGGGGTGGGATTGGTCATCTCCCGTTACCATCATTGGGGTGCGGTGTGGTCTCAGACTGGGGTGGGATTGGTCATCTCCCCTTACCATCATTGGGGTGCGGTGTGGTCTCAGACTGGGGTGGGATTGGTTATCTCCCCTTATCAGGGTGCGGTGTGGTCTCAGACTAGGGTGGGATTGGTCATCTCCCCTTACCATCATTTGGGTGCGTTGTGGTCTCAGACTGGGGTGGGATTGGGATCATCTCCCCTTACCATCATTTGGGTGCGTTGTGGTCTCGAACTGGGGTGGGATTGGTCATCTCCCCTTACCATCATTGGGGGGTGCCTTTTTTAGGGGGCGTGGGGGGGGGGGGGGGTTTGGTACTCATATCTGTGATGCATTATTTTTTAAAATTTGTTTTTTTTTTTTTTTTTTTTTTTTATTTTCTCTTTTGATTTTGTGAATAAATTCATCTGAGGGGTAGCTTTGTGGGTGTGTAGCCTATTTTCTTCTCTTTTGTTTTTTTTTTTTATGCATTGCGTTTAGGCAGCACTCCACCAGATATTGCTGGTGGCCCCTCATTATATTTTTATAGCTAGTGGGCTCCCCGGGCTATTTTTTTGTTTGTGCTTGGAAGGTAAGGAGTCAGACCCCCTGGTACCTGTACTGCTTTGACTATAGAAAGCACCAGTTCTTACAGACAAGAATACACCGGTCTCCTGTCATTGCTAGCTGTATGCTTTTCATGGTCATTGAAGCAAAACATTTGAAGCCAGCAAATCAGGAAGATAGCCCAAGTAACTGTAACAATTGCTTCAAGTTAGAATAATGTTCGGTAACCCATGAAATGTATGGGTCAGCATGTTTTATCCCAGTTTTCTGTAATGCAACACCTTCTTCTTCTTTTTTTTTTTTTTTTTTTTTGCAGGAAATTGTAAATATCTACCCATCGATAAACCCACCTACCCTGACCGCACATCAGTCCAAACCGCGTGTGTAATGCACTGGCCTTGCTACAATGTGTGGCCTCACACCCGGAGACCAGGTAGGATATATGATGTATTGGAAGTGGACGCCTGTGGTTAGATATTTGATATTTTGTCCTACTCTGTTCTATGTGGGATGTTTTTTTGTTTCTTGTCTTGCTATCCGTATTGTACCCCCCAAAAAAGTTAGCATTTTAATTTCTTAGAAATGATCACTTTGCTTTGGGAATTATATTTTAATATAAAAAAAATACAAAAACTTTTTTTTATTATTATTAAAAGCCTTTGTTTTTCATGAGATATCTTATCTTTAGAGTAATTATTTTTCCTGCTTCCCAAAATACACTTCATAGAAATTAGTGGTTAACCACTTCAAGTCCGAACCCAACCAGAACACTACCTGCCTGGAGTTTGCATGTTCTCCCTGTGCCTGCGTGGGTTTCCTCCGGTACTCCTGTTTTCTTTCCACACTCCAAAGACATGCTGGTAGGTTAATTGGCCCTTGTCTTAACCACTTCAAGTCTGGACACTTTCACCCCCTTCCCCTCCAGGTCAATTTTCAGCTTTCAGTGCTATCACACTTTGAATGACAATTGCGCGGTCATGCAACACTGTACCCATATTAATTTTTTACCATTTATTTGAGACAGATAAAACTTTATTTTGGTGGTATTTATTCACCACTGGGCGTTTTTTATTTAAATTTTTTTTGCTATATAAATGAAATGGTCCAAACATTTTGGAAAAAAAGTGTTTTTCTTCTAAAGTTTTGCAAATAATCTTCATAAATCTTGGCCAAAATGTATTAATCTATCTTTTTAGTAAAAAATAAATAAATAACCCAAATTAGTTTATAACCAAAAATTATATATTTTCAAAAATTTGTTTACATTTTTTTTTTATTTTTCCATATTTTTGTTTTTTGTAACATACTGTCACCCTAGCAGTACAGTCACCATAGTGACACTGTATTACTTGCTGGGGGGTGATAAAGATTTTTTTTTTGTGGGGGTGATAAAGATTTTTTTTTTTTTTTATTACACGGATTGCTTTTACACCCATAAAGGCTGCAAAAGCAATCATTTCTCCTTCTCTCTGGCTGCATTCTTACAGCCATTGAGAAATACTGAGTGAGCTGTGATTGGTCACAGCTTGTCACATGGTACAAGGTTGTTGTGAATAGCCCTGTACCATGTGACCTCTCTGATCATTCACAGATTTCACACGTAGTAAGCAATGATGTCAGAAGTGACATCTTGCTTACTACTATTCATGTGATCACTGATTGGTCAATCAGGGATCACATGATCGGGACCTCACACAGAGGTCCTGTATAGTGATCTGTATTCCATGGAGCGCGCACAGGCAATGGATGCAGGGGGACGTTTAGAAACGTCCACCCGCATCGGCAGAGCTCCCTTCTGGCCATTTGTTGACATGGGCTGTACAGGAAGAGGTTAAAGAGAGACTGTTTATTAATTAAAACGTAATCCAG